CACGCGCGAGTCCTCGGGAGGTGCCTGCCGCCGGCTAGGCCTGAGGGGCGGGGGTTGGGCCGTGGCCGCCCCCGGGGACACACCCATCCAGGAGGGGCTGTCACCGCCACGGCCTCTGCGGGAGACCCAAGCCGATAAGCCCCCTGGAGGGATGGAAGTGGCTTGGCCGGGCGCCCCGTGAGCTTGCTCAGTGACCTTGGGGGCCTCGTCTGGGTCCTCCCTCTCTGCAGATGGAGGCTCCGGTGGGCTGCTGTGCCGACTTCTACTGCTAGTAGTCTGGTAGGGGAACCTCTCCCTAGGGCTGGGCAGGGTCTGGGCTGCCCCATGTGGCCACGGAGGTGGGAAAGGGGCGGGCCTTCGGTGGAGGACTAGGTGGGTAGCGAGAAGGGGAGGTGTGCAGGAGGATCAGGCCCCGCTGCACCTGTATGGTGAGACCTTGGTACTTAGTTTGGTTCAACAAGTGTTGGTAGGTCTGGGGAGCTGGCTAGCATGGTGAGGGGCTGGCCTCGGGGAGCTGGGCCCCCGGATACAGCTACTCCAGGAGCTAAATCCTGGAGGGTAGGGCAGCCCAATCCATGGACACACAGTGAGGATCCTAATAAGGAAGGAAGGCTTTTTGGAGGAGACAAAAACCTGGAAGGCCTTGAATAACAGGGGTGTGGGAGGAAACGGGCTTAGATATATGTCTCCTCCTTCTCTATGTAGGTTCCTTGAATTTGGGACTTTTGTGGAGAGTTTCTAACAGTTTCCAAACTTTTTTTGTTCTTTTGGTCCTCCCTTGTCTCCATGGAGGGTGTCTTGTCATCCTCAGCTGTGAGCGTCTGCAGTGCTGTATCCTAGGATGCAGGGCCTGGGTGGAAATAAGGGTCTGGGATGAGTCGGGTAGGGGGGCGCTATGTTGATGAGGCTACTTACATGACCGTCTGTGACTTCTGACCTGGAATCGGGTGCCTGAAAGTGGGCAGAGTGAGTGTCAGTGACTGACAGGCTGGGAAGAGAAGAAAGGAAAGTGTGTGGGTCTGGGGGAGTGAGCCCAGCACCCAGACGCCTGGGGAGGCAGAAGGCACCTGGTGCCCAAGTGACTGAAGTCTGTTTTCCAGAATGATTCTGTTCTGGATTCTGGGTTGGGGTACGTGGAGTGTCTGGCTGTGCTAGGCCATGGTTCCATCTGCGGGGTGACTGTTGACCTCCAGGGCTGCTGAGCCCTTCCCTTCTCTGGTCACCAGCAGGTGCACCAGCCTCTTTGAAGGCAGAGACTCTCAGTGCTTCTGGTGTGGGTTCCATTTGGAAGGACCCTGAAGAGTGGTCAGTCTATTCTGGAATGTGGCAGTGGGGCCAGAATACTGAGGTGTTTAGTTTTGTTTTGTTTTAGTGAGTTCTAGGCCCAGTGTGGGGCTTGAAGTCACGCCCTGGAGATCAAGAGTCGCATGCTCTACTGACCGAGCCAGCTAGGAGCCCCTGAGTTTTTAAAATCTCATGTTCATCACATTGATTACAGATTTTAGAGTCACTTCCTTAATATATATTTGAGTAGCTCTGTGTCTGACATGGGGGGATTCAGGGATGAGCAAAGGGAACTTCTGTCTTCTTGCAGTTGACCGTGTGTTTGGGGAGACAGGCAGTAAGGAGACAATTCCGTAAATATATAAAAGTGAGGTGCTGTGAGGACAGAGTTCGGGGAACTGGGTGAAACGGGGGCCTAGGGGGCTACCTCCAGAGGATCAGTGAAGAAGAAGGGAAGCAAGTTCCAGGGAAAGGGAATAGCATGGGCAAAGGTTCAGAGGTGGGACCAGCATGGGGCCACTTTATTCCAAAGCCCTGGGGTTTTCTTCTGTTGCGAGTGGGTCCTTGGATACGGCAGACCGGCCTGTGGGAGTCTGCTCTGGACGGTGGCCAGGCAGGAGACAGCTCCGCTGGACTTGGTGTGGTGTCTGGGTTCAGCCTGGATTTGTAGCCTGAGGCCTGGGTGAGGAAAGCCCTCCTCTGGATCCTGAGGTGGGTGGCGCTTAGGAAACCTTTGCTGAGCTTTCTCAGTGCCCTCAGTGCTGGGTAGGGCGGCTGCGTCTTCCTGGAGGTGGTTAGAGTAGTGCTTGGCACACGTGTTTCTACACTCCGGCGCCTTCACATGGCCAAAGAGCTACGGAGACTCGAGGATGTTGGTTTTGGGGAGAGGCTGAAGGCTGGGGTGGCCCACCTAGGCATAGCTCTTCACCTGTGATGCTGGGTTCGGTGACTGAATTCGCCATCCAGTCAGCTAGAGGGGGCGTGAGGGGTGGGACAGAGGTGGCTTCTGGGAGCCCGAGCATTTCAGCTCCTGGACCTGGGCCCTGGTCTCTGGGAGGCCTTCGTGGCTGCTCCGAGTTCCCTAGCTATTAATGTGTGGATTGAAAGCAGTAGGTAGGAGCAGTTCAGAGAATGAGTGTGTGCTGCCTGATTAATAAAAAAGCGATGGGTTGGGGAATAAGAGCAGTTGTCTCATAGGTACCCGGTGTTCTGAGCTGTCCTCCTGACCCTGCACGTCTTTACATGGGGCGTCTCTGTCCTGTTGTTGGGGTTCTGTGGCAGATGCTGTCTACTCATGGAGCCGGCTGAGCTGGGGTGGACCCAGCTGCCCCATGTGGCCTGACTGCAGGAACCCTCTGGCCTTCATACCCTCGTCCCAGGATTCGGGGTTTGCTGTGTTTGCAGTGGGCTTGGATCACTTTGGAAAGAACCCTGTTTAAGTCTTAAGCGCTGATGGGTCCAATGCTGGGTGGCGGGCTCATTCTTAAGCTTTCACTCAAAAAGGAGCCTCAGAAACCGACTTTGTCAAAACTGTGACCCTGTCCTGCCCTTGGGCCTCCAGCGGGCACCTGGGAGGGAGGAGTGGCCCCTGGGCCCGTAGTCTCCTGTCCATCAGGTCTACAGCCCTTGGCTGTGGGCCTTGCGGCAGCTTGGCTGTCTCTGCCTAGCACCTGGGCTGAGCCAGCTGTGACGGTGGCGTGAGTAGGATTCTCTCCTGGGATTCTCTGATCCTTTAAACTTGTAGAGTTGTCACAGGGCATTTTAGATCATCTTTGCCGGTCCAGCGATGAACCGGATCTCCGTGATCTGTTGAACTTTTTCTAGATGCCCTGGATGGAGTGAGGGGCAAGGGAGATGCAGAGGGTAACACACACTCAGGACCTCTTGTGTGCCGCCTCTGGCAGGAGGGAGCCTGACCTGCTGGCCTTCCCGGCAGTGGTGAATGAGCCCGCTGGTCTCATTGCACCCCTGCTCAGGCCTCTCCTCTCACACCCCTGCCGGCACAGTGTGGGTGCTGAGAGCTGGGTGAGCATTTTCCCCTATATGCCAGGTGAGCCGTTCCTCCCAGGCTGCACTCACCCTTTTCAGCCAAATGTGGGCCACTCTCGGCCGTGTTGCCTGGACTCCCTGCTTCTCATGGCCCCTGAGGATAAAGACCTGGGCTAAATCCCTGATTTACTCCAAGAAAGCATGATAGTGCATATCCAGCACATAATTGCTGGCAAGAAAGAGCTGAGGCTGCATAATGGGGTCACGGAGAGGGGCTCTGTGGTTAGTTTTTCTGGGTACAGAATGTCCCAGTTGTGCCATGTGAGCTCATGGGAAGAGCCCTGGTCCTTCCTCAACTCAGGAGCCATTTCTGTCCAATGGGGGGGATGAGTCCTGCCTCCCGCGGGGCGGCATGAGGCCCGTGTGAGGCCCGAGCAAGGCGCGTGAGTGTGCTGCGGGCGCTCGTCACCGCCGTCCGTCTGTGTTTCAGGCCGCGCCGAGGCTCTCCTCCGGGGAAGATGGCAGCCCTGCGAACCACTCCAGGCTCACCAGCCACGCAGCTGGCGAAGGTGGAGGATGGGTTGGAATGTGGTCCTGCTCAGGAGGAAGAAGAGGAAGAAGACCAGGGGGAAGAGGTGGAGATAGAGGAGGAGGAAGAGATAGTAGTGGAAGAAGGCGAGGACAAGCAGGTGGTGGAGGACGAGGAGGAAGGGGGGCGGGCAGGGCACGTGGATCAGGTGGAGGTGGAGTTGGAGGAGGACGAGGACGTGGAGGAGGTGACAGCAGAGGAGCAGAGTCTGACCTTGGGGACCCAGGAGCGCTGTAGCCGTGCTGCTGATGCCAAGTCCCCAGTTCTCCAGGGAAAGGGTAAGAGAAAGGAACCGGCTCCCGGGGTAGGAGGCAGTGGGGGCCTGGGAGGGCAGGCCAGGACAGGGTGGAGCTGGAGCATCAGGACCCAGGTTTTGAAATGGAGGAGCCTGGAACTCCTGCCCCTGCTTGCTCTCCGGGCAAAGGTGACTGTGGCAGCAAGGCCCGACGGGGAAGGCGGGCCCCTAACAGGTCTTCCCCTCAGCCTTGCAGGCCGCCCGGGTTCTGGCCACGCCTAGGGATGAGGACCTGGAGGAGGAGGAAGAGGAGGAGGAGGAGGAGGAGGAGGAAGAGGAGGAGGAAGAGGAGGAAGATGATGATGATTCCCTGACAGCTGGATCTCAGGTGAGCTGCTGTCTCTCTGGAGCTCAGTTAACCAGGCACCTGCTGTCCTGGAGACCCCTGTGGGCAAAGCAGAGGCTCTGTGGTCCTCAGGGCGAGTTCAGGCTGTGAGCGGGGACAGGGCAGCAAGAAGTGACTGGGGATCTCTAGCCCCAAGCCCACGGGACGTGGTTCCACTTTCCCGGGGCCCAACCCTTCCCAGGCCATCATGTCCTGAGGATGTTGACTGCCCCTCACGTGGCTGCACTGCGGCCCCTTACCTGGAGGGCCTGTCACCTGTCCAGGCTCGGGTTTCCTGCCGAGCCCAGTCAGATCGGGCACCAGTGCCCACAGTCGGTTGAGTTGATGCCGCTTACGCACCCAGGCATGGGCCCTCACGTTGCTGATGTGACCGCTGGCTTAAGGTGGACAGTGAGGGGGGAGGACACAGCCTCCCCGCACAGCCATGGACTTGAGCTTTCTCATCTCCTGACCTCAGTGTGAGTCGTGGCTCTGCCCCCCCACACGCTGAGTGTTCGCCCTCTCTGAGCCTGGGTTCCTAATCTCTGAACAGAAATGGGGTCTTTGGCTTTCAAGGCCACCACCAGGCTTGCACACCTTGAGTACTGCTGGGCCTTTGCAGGCCTGTCAGTGACGGGATGTCGGGCTGTGTCCCTGTGAGCTCCGTGTTGCAGGACCATGGTCAGCTCTTCTTGACGAGCTTTTTCTGTTGCTCGCGTTCTAGGGGCTCCCCTGCCTCTCTCCGAAGGCAGCTTAGGGCAGAGGCCAGGGCTCTGTTTTCCAGGGGCTGGTGACCTTTGAAGATGTGGCTGTGTACTTCTCATTGGAGGAATGGGAAAGGCTGGACGCAGACCAGCGGGACCTTTACAAGGACGTCATGCAGGAAAACTATGGGATCCTGGTGTCCTTGGGTAAGCAGGGAGGCTTTGTGGTCTGACGGCTGCCAGCAGCCTAGCCGTTTGAAAGAGTGGCTTCTGAAGCCCCAGGGTCTAAGAGAGGGGCGTCCTGGAGCCAGCCCACCTCTTGGGGGAGCCCTAGGGACCGGGGTCTCCGCTGTGGCCCAGCAGTGCCATGAGCCAGGTGGATGTGTTCTGGGAGCCGCCCATCCAGCTCCGGTCCCTGGGCCGTCTGCCCCCCGAGGCCTCCGGGGCTGAGGAGTCAGGGGCTAGAGGGGCTGAAGGTGTGTGGAGGGGCTGAGCAGGACAGCTGCAGCTCTCAGGGCAAAACTCTAGACTTGTGAATGTGGGATTTCCCAGGGCGGAGGCCGGGAGATGGGAGGGCTGGTCCGGGAAGGGAGAGTGAGGAGCTGGTTGGCATGTCGGGGATGGCACTGTGTGCGGTGAGGGCGGGGCCTGGCCAGCGCAGCCCTGCAGCTGCTGGCTGTTTCTCTCCTGGCCAGGCTACCCAATCCCCAAGCCGGATCTGATCTTCCGGCTGGAGCAAGGGGAGGAGCCCTGGGTCCCAGATAGCCCCCGTCCTGACGAAGGAGACATTGTCACTGGCGTCTACACAGGTGAGTAGGAGATGGAATCTTGTGGGGTTTCTGCTGACGCAGCTCCTCAGGGCTTTGCCAGACTTTGGCCTTGACCTTAGCTCTGTGCCGTGGCCTTGATGCTGGTGGTCTGGGATGTGGAGTGGGCCGCTTGGATAGGGAGGCCACCATGCGCTAACCTCTGCCTTTGTGCGTTGGCCTCTCCAGGCTGGCGAATCCTTAGAGAACCTACGGGTTCCTCTTCGGAGCCTTGGAAAATGTCCCTGTCCCTGCCTTGGAGCCTCTGATTGTTTTTGTTTTTTCTAAGTGAGGGCCATTTGTTAAGTGTTTGGCTCAGAGAAATAAGTGCAGGAACTGGGCAGACTCTGGCTGAGAGTGCCGGAACCCGCCTTTCTGGTTTCCACACTTGAACCGGTCCTGTGGCTTCTCCACCCATTGGGCTATCTCTGAACAAAGGGTCTGGGGGGCAGGCCTCTGGCCTGGGTGCGCAGCTCTACCCCTTCCAGAAAGGAGATTTGGGAGCGAAGTGTTCAGGGTGGCGAATTTCTCTGGACACTGCTGATGTGGTTCTGTTTCCCCAACTGTCTGAGCTTCACTTTGCTCACATGGAGAACAAGTAATTTGACCTAAATCCATAATTTCCAAGCCGAGGACGTGGGACTGTTGGTTCTGTGGAGGTGCTTCACGAGGTCTGTGAGTCAGGCTCAGTGTTTGAGAGAGATCCGTGGAGGGTGTGTCCGCCTTTGGGCTCGAGTGACGTCCCCCCAGTGAGGGCCACTGGATGGCTTGTGCCAATCAGGTGCCTGGATAGACTCAGAGCAGCTCATAGACATATTTCAAAATAAAAATACAGAAAAACACAGACCGTGTTACTGCGCCTACGGGTGGTCTCTTCAAAGTGTTTTCCCGTTTACTCTGTATTCTCTCGACAAGCCTGGGCCATAGCAGGGCAGAGGCGACCAGTCGACCTCGCATATGAGGACTTTGACTTTGAAAGTGGTGACGCCGTGGCTTGTCCAAGGTGGGCTCAGCCGCAGGGCTCACTTGCCACGGTGTTGCAGGATGGCCTTCCCGTCCCGGCTCTCCACGTGCTGTGGGGCCCTTTCTGGGAATCCTTCCTGGGCTTCATTCAGACTTGGGTGGGCGCTGACTGGTGAGACCATCGCAGCTGCTTCCGGGACGAGTCTGGGACAGATGTTTCTCGGAGGGGGGTCTCAGTGAGAGGTGGGCCCTGTTTACGGGCACAGCTCAGAAAAGCCACCTGCAGATAAAGGGGCCACAGGCCTGCCTTGGCCAGTCTCTCATCATGTGGGCTGGATGTACCCCCATTCTCCATGCTTCTTGGAGGGTCCTGGGGTACAGCCGTTTGCAGGCTCCAGTGTGGGTGGTCCTGGGTGGAGTTCGGCAGCACCCTGAGGAGGCTGGCTAGCTGGGCTGGCGGCTGGTCGCTGTAGCAGGGCCGGTGAGCCTCGACTGCTCCCCGCATCCCCGCCCGTGCCACCCGGTGAGCCCGAGGTTGATACGGGATCCAGGCATGGTCTTAGACATGACCCTGTCTGCTGGGGTCAGCTCTGGTAGGGCAAACCCATCTAAGGCCTTTCTTTCTTTCTTTTAATTTTTATTTCTCTGAGAGAGAGTGTGTGTGTGCATGTGCTCGTGCGAGAGCAGGGTGAGGGGCAGAGGGAGAGAGAGAGAAAGAATCCTCAAGCCGACTCCCCTGCCCAACTCGGGGCTTGATCCCGGGACCCTGAGACCATGACCTGAGCTGAAATCAAGGGTGGGCCGCTTAACCGATTGAGCCCCCCAGGTGCCCCATCCAAGGCCTTTCTTAACTATGATTGTAGTCTCTTTGCTAAATGGTCTCCCTTCCCTCTTCTCCCCGTACTCATTTCTGTGTGGCTGAGTCCATTGAGAATTGAGAATTGCTGGGTCTGGCAGGACGGATGCTAACTGTTGTGAGCCTGACAGTTTCTGGATTTCTAGATTGTAGTCTGGCAAAACACAAGTGTCTTCCTCTCTTGTGTTTCTTGAAGAATTGGGCCAAAAGGTTTGGACTGTGGCCGGCTTCTTCCACTCAGGCGCCCCATCCCGTCTGCTGTACTGACCTGAAGTCCCCTGCTCTGCCCTTCCAGCTCCGTGCTCCGGCCCCCCGACCCATGCCCCCCCCACCCAAGCTCACTGCTGCTCGCTCTCCTCACCTCTCCTGACCCCACCAGCTTTCCTGCGCCTTTCTCCTCACCCGGCTTGGAGAGCAGTGCCTCGCCCCCCACCCGCTGTTTGTGATAGCCCCGTGGAGTTACCTGCCAGACCCCTGCCCATGCAGGACCCCATTTCCTGCCCACATCTGCACTGCAGCTGGGTCGTGGCTGGAGAAGAGTGTGCCTGCCAGCCGACCACACACCTCCTGAGGACACCGCCACAACCTGGGCCCGGTGGTCTGGCTTCGTGTCCTTGTTGGGTTGGCTTTCCGCTCTCTGCGGGCGACCATCTTGGCCCTGAGGACCCCACACACCCCTGGTTTCTCCGCTGCCTTCCCGGCTGCTTCTCCACTTGCCCTCGCTTGTTCCCGAGACCAGGACAGTCCTGCGTCCTCTTCTGTTCTCTCTAGGTGACTGCGGCCAGAGCTTACGTCGATGCTGCCCATCCGCAGCTTCTTTCTCCAGCTCTCTTCCTGTCTGCTTGTCCATCCGTATGCTTGGTCTCTCCACTCACTTACCTGATGGGCATTTCAGAGTGAACCTGCACCTGAAGGGGCTTCTCCTACTCCAGTCCCCTCTTGCAGTGTCCTTGGCACCTGAGTGGGCCTGGCTGCGTGCCCGATTAGTCCTTGTCGCTCTGCCTTCCTCGCCCCACCCCGTCCCAGGCTCCCAGGAGGCCGGCGGGCCTGTGGCCACAGGTGTCCCCGAGCTGCCTCTGCCTGCCCTCCAGTAGCTTCCCCGTGCACTTGGCGCAGCGTCTGGGCCCCGCTGTGGCTTGAGACTGCCGCCCCTCCAAGCTCATCTCCTACACCCTTAGCTCTTCAGGCTCGGCCCCTCAGACCACCTTAGTCTTCAAGCTCTCGCCTGCCTCGGGGCCTTTGTGCCTACTGTTTCCCCTGCCAGGCTTGCCTTTTGTGTGGCTGGCTCGGCTCTCAGGCCCCACTCGAGTCACGTGTTCTCTGAGCACACGGACTTCAGGAGCACGCCTTCCTGCATTTCTCCAGGATGTTCCCTGCAGTTACAGCAAACAGCGCTGTCTGAAACGGTCCTGCCTAGATGTTTGCTTCCTCATTCCCCGTCTGCTGCCTCCGGCCGCCTCCGTAAGAGCGAGCACTGTGTGCTGTCTTCCCCTGTGCTGTCTCCCTGGCACCCTGCACGGGCCTGGCACCCAGCGGGGCCGGCTGCTGATCCCCCTCCTTGGCTGCACTCCTGCCCCTCATGTGAAAGTGAAGGACGGAAGAGAATTACAGCATGCAGGGTCACACCTGCTTAAGATGCCCCAGGAAAGGAGAGAGAGAATTTCAGAGCAGTAAGAGGTAAAACACTAAGGTGGGGGCATCTCAGAGTCAGTGAGCACAGTCAGTGGTTCTGGAGGGGAGGAGGTCAGGAGCAGCTGTGGAAGGTAGGCCTGGGACCAGCCTGCAGGTGGTCTTTACCTCACACAGCCCATGAGCGCCTGGGCGGAGTGCCTGGGCTGGGCCTGTCTGCCCCACCGGGGTCGGGTGGATATTAGTCCTTAGCGTGGGCCTTCCCTGCCTTTGGCACACCCCTGAGGGGGCCCTGGGTGTCCCCGAATCCCCTTTTTTTGTCTGAGCCAGGGAGAAGGCACTTGGGTCCTGTCTTGCCTCAGAGCCCTGGGCGCGTGGTGTAGGCAGAAGGGGAAGGAGCCAGGAAACATTCCACCTGAGGAAGGCTCCTATTAATAGCTGGTCCTTGGTATTATATTCATGGTACAGATGAGGAGACTGAGGCCAGAGAGATCACCTGCCAGTGATGGGGGGTGGGCCCTGTGCTCATGGGAGGACAGAGCCCAGTACAGGAACCTGGCCCTGTCGTGAGCTGCCGTCTCCCCCACACTTGAGTACAGCCCTGGTTACCAAACTCCTGCTCAGTGGGAAGGAAGGGCAGCTGACCAGCAGTCCTGGAGGCAGGAGCCCACCTGCATCTTGGGCCCACCAACCCTGTTCATGTCCTCCCCTTCTAACTGTTCCTCGGTTGGGGGGCTCTCCTCAAACGTACCTCGAGTCTCCGGGTCTGGATGGAGAAGTCAGGAGCAGGTGTTGACTTTACTCTTGGGCCCCAGCAGAGATGGGTTTAGTCAGAGCTGACTCACCATGGGACCAGGTCAGGGTGGGTTCCCGGACCGGGCAGAGGTTGCCCCGGGGGCGGGAGTCGTAGAAAACGGCCTGGTTCTCAGGGCGTTGTGTGTCCGTCGTGCTGAGCAGCCCTCGGTGGGCCTCGCAGCAGCTCGGGGACAGAGGTGCACCAGGCGTGTGGCTCGGGGGCTTTCATCTTCTCCGAGGCCCTGTGATGAGTGCCTTGGTAGGGCACTTAACTGACGAGGGGGCTCTCCTGACAGGGCCACGGGTCAGCCCCTGGGATTGTCATCAGGGCTCAGAGCACTGGTTCCAGCTTAGCTAATCATCACCCAGGGTCATAGTCCTTGGGAGCAAATGTCGCAAGGAGATGAAGCAGCAGCTCCCACTTCCCAGGGTCCTCTTCTCTGCCCTACCCCTGTGGGTTCTGGAAGAAGCAACTGTGTTTGACCCTATAGGCCCCTGTTACAAAATGTCCCCTCACCCACCTTGTAAAAGCATTCTCTGCTCTGGCTCTCGTCTCACAAGGAGACCTGGTAAGTGCTCACTTGGATTCCAGCAAACTCCCTGGGAACCTGGAGTGACCTTTCCATTGGCCGCCCCCACTCCAGGGCCCCACCTCCAGACTCTGGCCCACTTTGGTGACAGAAAGACAAGGGAACAGAACCCAGCCTCAGGGCAGGCTGGTCTTCCTCTGCATCCCCCTCCAGTGGCCCTGCTCCTCCCGGCGATCTTGGGCTGCGGCCGGCTCTGACTGCCCAGGGACATGGCCGCCCTCACTACCCCTCATTTGGTGTTAGTGGTGCTGCCCACCACCTTGCCGTGTGTTCAGTGGTTTCTCATTCCTGGACAAGAGGCTGTGCCGGCTCTGGAGGTCCCTCCTGTATCGCTCTCCTCTGCAGAGGCTTGAGGTGGGGTCCGGGCAAGGGCTCCCCTTCCCTGGTGTGCATGGGGGCTTTCCGCTGCTCCTAGACCCCAAGGAAGAGGTGTTGTGAGTCACTGGGACCTGGCCCACCCTTCCCAGTTCTGAGTGGCCAAGGTAATTTGGCCTGCGTGTCGGCTTTGTATCCAACAGGGGCTGACCCTGAGCTAGGTCCTGGGGTGCACACTAACCCCACTAAGACGTTGAACGTGTTCCTGTGCTTCAATTCCCCTGGCCTTGGGGAGTCTCTAATTCAAACTACTCAAGACCCTCCCCAGAGTCCTGTGGTAAAATTCTTTTTGAGAATCATGGCAAGAACTCCCAGCTGATCTGAGTACCCACGGAACTGCCTGTCCCTCCACCATCCCCTGCTGTCTCATGAGGGTGCTCTGGCCTTCCCAGTGAGGAGCTGGGCCTTCTCTGTGCTCTGCAAGGGGCGGACGCCTCACGCCACCCACTCGTGGCCCCAGGTGGCGGCTGCGCGTAAACTGAGCTTAGTTCAGGAAACTTTGGTCTCCTATTTTAAAACTTATTTTTACTTTAACAGTATAGTAGTACTAACTGTAGAAAACTTGAAAGTATTACAATTCTGAAAAAAATAAAATAACCCATTTCTGTACGCCTTTAAATGATGCGTGTTTTTGTTCACAGCTGAAATCATGCCCGAACAGTTCTGTGTCTGGCTTTATCTGTCCCTGCGCTTTGCTGTGTTCTCCCACGTGACCATATCACCCCACATGTAGAGTGCTGTACAGAATATAGGACGAGGGCTGAGCCAGGGTGGGCAGCTCTCCTGGGCCCCCACCTTCCCTCAGGGGCAGGACTCGGTGATCCACACTCATCCAGCCAGGTGATGCCTGACGCTGGCCACAGTTTTGGTGGTGGACCCAGGTGGGGTAGAGGAGGGGATTCCCACCCTCTAGAACTTTCCAGATGCTAGGATTCTGGGGAGGGCGACAGCATGGTGTGCGACCACTGTGGACCCACACGGGGTGGAGTGTACATGAGAAAGTAGGCACACAGGTGCTTTGCAACATCTGGGGCCACCATGGGTCAGGCGTTTTCCCTTCTGTTCCTTGTGTGACTTAGTGCTTACTCCACAAATGGTAGTTCTCTCCTGAGAATGGTGGCAGGCCGATCAGCACTCCATTTTGTAAACTAGAAAACCCTCCAGGTCTGACTCCGTACCCACGCTCTGCACTGAAGGGAGAGGTCACTTTGGTGGAGGAGGTAGAGAACTGCAGGACCTTTTGGGGGGTTGTCCTTGGCCTTCTGTGATAGTAGGGTGCTTGCAGTTCACCCAGTCTTAGCCAGCTTGGGACTGTTTCCCAAATGCACAGCCACTCAGAAAAAGCCAAGCTTTGGGGTGCCTTAGCAGGGAAGCTTGGGCTGTGCCTGAATCGTTGCTGGAGGCTGTTAGGATGAGTGCAGAGGGCTGGGGCCCAATGGCCCCTCTAGGTCTCCTTGGCTCAAGGCAGCCTTTTCAGGTTCTGCTCTGAGAGTGGGAAGGAGACCCACCACTGCTGGCCAGCCTGAGGCTGGTGGAGAAGAACTCAGAGGGGAAGGGATGCTGAGCAGAACTTAGGTGCTTACAAGGCAGGTCCTCAGCTGCAGGGCCCTGGGGCTGTGCTGGTGCTGGAGGCTTGCTTGCCTTGGGCCAAGCGGGGGTGGGTGGGGGACGTGGGGGGTGGAGTTCTCTGGAAGACAAGGGGTTTTGGGGAGAACAGCTCAGGGGTCTCTGTTTTTCTGAGTACCAGACGCCTGTTACGGGCTTAGCCCCTGGTCTCCCAGGAACCTACAGGCAAGGTCACCAACTTTGTAGAGCGTTCCTGTTTCTCAGCAGGGTGGCAAGCACTGGAGATCTGGAAGAGGGATTAATTAGTTGAAGCCATTTGAGGACAGTCCAAGAAGTAAAGGAATCTGGGCCTCCCCTAGGAGGGACACCCACGCGCACATTTCTCCCATCTGCAGAGTTCCTCCTGAGGGAGGCTGTGGCTTTACTGCCCCACGTGCGCTGGAACGCGCACAGCCTCTCCCTTCGTGGAATGCAGAGGCACCCTGTCCAGAGCCTGCGGATGGAGGCTCGGTGCCGGGGGAGCTTGGGGTCCCGCGCAAGCTGTGATTTCTCTAGGGAGGAGCCAGCAAGGGGCTGCCTCGACCTCCTCTCACCTCTCTTCTGGCCTTCCTTTGTCGCCTTCAGGGGCCTGGTTCTGGACGGACGACCTAGACGACCACGAGGAGGAGGACGACGAGGACTTCCTGGCGGAGGTGGCCGAGGAAGAGAACGAGCCCCCGGGGCTCTGGTCAGCGGCCTACGGCGTGGGGGACGTTCCTGGGACCTGGGGCCCCGATGACTCGGATTCAGCGCAGACCCCGGAGGGGTGGGGTCCCGACCCCGGAAGCCTCGGGGTCCTGGCCGAGGGGTCCGAGGCAAAGCCCTTCCTGCCGGGCCAGGAGCCTGGCGCGAACCTGCTGGCGCCCTGGGCGTTCCCTGCCACTGTGGCTGCTCCGGCCGGGCGGCCCGAGACCACGTGCGACGTGTGCGGAAAAGTGTTCCCGCACCGGTCCCGGCTGGCCAAGCACCAGCGCTACCACGCGGCCGTCAAGCCCTTCGGCTGCGACGAGTGCGGCAAGGGCTTCGTGTACCGCTCACACCTGGCCATCCACCAGCGCACGCACACCGGAGAGAAGCCCTTCCCGTGCCCGGACTGCGGCAAGCGCTTCGTCTACAAGTCGCACCTCGTCACGCACCGGCGCATCCACACGGGCGAGCGGCCCTACCGCTGCGCCTTCTGCGGGGCGGGCTTCGGGCGCCGCTCCTACCTGGTCACGCACCAGCGCACGCACACGGGCGAGCGGCCCTATCCGTGCCCGCACTGTGGCCGCAGCTTCAGCCAGAGCTCGGCGCTCGCGCGGCACCAGGCCGTGCACACGGCCG